GCAATGTAATAAAAAATCAACTTCCATTATTTCATATGAAAATCCAAATTACAATAAAGAGAACAATATTATAGAGTAATTTTAATATTTTCCTGAGTATTCAAACATTTTCTCAGTGATGACATGAGTCTGCTCATTTGGTAGCTATAATGAACAAGGTTGAGCAACTAAGTTATGGATGGAAAGATTATTGACGAAGTACCCGCAGATACTAATACATAAACATATTGAATTGAAATGCTATTTAACTGAACTTGGCATCTCGTTTCTAAAGATAATTATTACTGGTCCTTGATATAACTAATATTTCGTATTATTTTCATGTTTTATTCCATTAATTGCTCTGTGACAAATAGAGCTACTTATGCGAAGAAAGAACTAATGTGTTCATACCTCAGTACATGGAAAACTATCAAAAACAGTATAGAATTTAAATTAAATTTTGCGGATTACATCACTGTATTCATACCTCAGTTACTGGAAAACTATCAATAATAGTATTGAATTTAAATTAAATTATGCGTATTGCCTAACTGTGTTCATGTCTCAGTAACTGGAAAACTATTAATAACAGTTTTGAATTGAAATTAAATTATGAGTATTGTCTCAGTGTGTTCATACATCAGTTACTGGAAAACTATTTTAAAATTAAAGATATATTGAATTAAAGTTGAATTATGAGTATTACTCGTCAAGCGATTGTACATTCGCGCCCGAGAAATGAAAAAAATGCAAATAAGTTTTTAAGGAATTGAATTAAAAACAATGCAGCTTCTTGAAATATATATTGATCCTTAAAATGAGCAATTCTTTGATTCATTCTTTGATTCGGTTGCAAAAACCTCTTGACAATGAATTTAAAGTTTGTTGTTCGTGTGGAAAAGATGGTAAAATTCAATTGGACTATCTGTAAAATTACTAAAATATCCACAAATAACATGATAACATCAAGAACTTTACTCATAAAAAGGTCAGACGCAGTGACCATTGAAGAAATATTGTAGTTCAACGTTCAACTATATATAATTAAGGAGACCCTCAAGAGAAGTCCCCGTCGCCGGATTCCTCTTTTTACAAGTGTGGTGCGAAGAAAACTACATGGGTAACTGTAACATTTAATAATATTTAATGAAGTTTAAATGCATCATTTAAATTCAGCTACGTGTATATGTGGATGACAAATAAACGACACCTTCGCGATAAGTTACTGGTCTATTTTATGTGAAAACCAAGATATTCATTCACAAATCCTCTTTATTAAATGAAATGAACTATTTAAGAGAATTCTGTGCTCTCCATTACATTACTCGATATCTCCGGAGTTTTCTTAATTATGATTTTATTTTGTAATTAATTATGAGTGCGTGAAATTTCAATCCTAGAAATTTCCATCAATATATACTTCAAATGTCCATTAAAAAAAGATATCAGTAAAAACTATAAGGAACATGGTCCATAAGCTTCGTGTTGTCTGCGCCCTAGCTACTCATGACAAAAAAGTGTTTTTTTTTTTTCATTGTATGGTTTCATAAGATTTTGCTAATGATGTTCTCGAATCAACATCAGAAACAGGTTTCTATCAAAAATTTAAATCTGCATTCCCCCCATCTTCATCAATCATTCGTGATTACGCGATTTGAAGTCGCATTTAAATTAGAATTAATGACACGTAGAGGATCAACAACATAACTCGACAGAAATGACGAGTAGAGATGAGGCTAGTATTACCAAAATTACTTGGCGAGGATTTATTAATGTGGAGCCTAATCTTAAAGGTAATTTATTACATTATACATCTGTAAATAGTATCCCATGATCGCAGGCATTATTTATAATTAACCTGTAGTATTGTAAGCCCATTCCGTACTACTGACAGGCATGCAACCTTTCTTTGAGCCTAGTCATAGAATTAGAAGCACTTCGTCCTGTATGTCCCTGCGAGGTGGTCTGAGCTACTTAGGCTGCAGAGCACGACTCTAAGGGCACAGCGGAGTCCTTCTCCTCTCGCGACTCCTCTCATTACGTCGCTACTCTCATTATTGCTCTCAGATAACTCTTATGCACCACTATGCTTAATAGTTAGGATAATTAGACTTGTAAAGATCTTTTGTTTATTGAACCTTGAGATAACAATCTCACATAACCCAATCATTGTATCGTTCATAAATGTCTTTTTTGTCGATATATTTTATATTGCTTATATTTCAGTTTTACATTTTTTATGGAGATATCACATTTTATTTCTCAGTTATTGTGTAGTTCCAATGCACCTGTACATCGTCAAAGATGAAATTTCGCTTTCAGAACATCATTGAGCGTAAATATAACTTTTGCAAGATTTTCTTACTACCGTCTAATTAAAGACATTATGAACTCCTGTTCCAGATGCAAATTCGCACAACTTTTGTGTTGTGATGTATGGGCAGGAAAGATTTAATCCAATCCCTTTTCTCGTTAGCAGTCACTGACAACGACAAACGGCTGTAAATAAGTGATTATATAGGTATTTTATGAAAGGGTTTAATATATGTTATATGATCCTTAATATGTATATTTGTGTGCCTATTTCTCATTAGGAACCGAAATTCTGGACAAAAGAGTGCCTACATTACAAAAAAAATACAAACGTAAATAAAATTTGGGCTCTAAAGAGCCCGAAGTCGTCGACAGCTGCCAGCGTAATTAGCGCGACTTCTAGTCACGTAGACTCATGTTTTCACTATCGGTTCGAGCTTGATATTACATAAGCAATAATGATTTGGGAATTCTTTATCGTTCCCTTAATAAACACCAAGGAAAATGATTACAGCCACTCTGAGCACACTGTGACCCTGCTGACAAAATTATACCAGTGATTAGTAAAATATGTTCAGGTTCCATCTATTCCTTCCCAATATATTTGAAAACTCTCATACATAAAGGGCGTCTCATGACACTCGGAAACTGTGCATTTTAACAACAAAAGACCCAGGGTACCAATCACAATTTAATATAGAATCCATTGATGCACAACAGTAATACAAAATTTACCAAAAAGTTTTGTTTATTCCTGTGTAGTAGTTGGCCGAGGGTGTGATATTTACGCACATGTGATCCGCGTAAAAGTTTCTTTCAATCGCTGCACTTTTCTCAAGGTGACCAGCGATCGTTATTGGAGAGATAGGGTGTGAGGCAAAAAATTATATTATCAAGTTTTTTTATAACTTCATATTTTTCAGAACGTATTTCTGTAAGTTATCTCGTGATCATTCATTAACATTTATAAATACAAGTAATAATCGAAATACATCCGTTTACTCGTATTATTGGCCGATCTTTTTCTTCACACTTGCATTGAAAATTTTCTAGCACCTCAATTCTCTCACATGATTTGTTGGCACCAAGCTCCTATAAAAGTTACACAAACAATAGAGTGAGTGAATGAGATTTTTTTCGTATCGATTAATGATTCACTAAAGGCTAAAGCATCGTTGATCACAAGACTAGCTTGCCATAATGGCCTGTGGCACAAGTTTTTCGATATGGACTTATTGGACTAACAACACCTGCATTCTTCGTCTTACCAATTGTACACCTGAAGTTCACCTCCACGCTGCACATGTAGGTTGTAGCCAGTGGTGGGCACAGCTAATCTAAAAGTTAGCTTCGATAACCGCTAATCCGCTAACTGAAAAGTTAGCTTCGATAACGCTAAACCGATAAATCACCAAAAAATGTAGCGGAATTTTTCAGAGATTTTTAAACATTTTTAGCGGACTTCCAGTTAGCGGAACTAAATTTAGCGGAAGCTAATTGGTCCGCTAAAGGTTTTCAAAGTTAGCTGAACATCTAATCCGATAAGGAAAAAGTTAGCTTCGCTAATTAGCGGTTAGCGGATTAGCGGAACTGTGCCCACCACTGGTTGTAGCCCACACTTGCTTGCAAGATTTCATAAATTGTGTGACACTATTATATTTCATAAATACTTATTATTCTTCTCCGTATATAGACAATCACAAACGCGAGACGAAATACTCCGCCGACTGTGACCTAATCACCACGCATGATAATCAGCGTGAGATCAATCAACAAACAAAGCCCAAAATTTACTTTCCTTACACCAAGTGCTTCATCATCGAGCAAGGTAAACCTTAAATTTTCCTTCCTTCACAAAGTGCTTCATCACCGTGTAAGTTCTATCCGAAATTCCCCTTTCTTGTATTTACTGTCACTTTGCACTGTGAGTTGCAGTTAAAAACCTATTTTTGTATGTCTTTATTTAACTGTACACAACTGTTATGCTTTAAAGTTTAAATGATACTAAAATTGTTTCATGCCATATAATAACTATTGGTTTTCCGACCTCATCTACTTCTGATATTTGGAAATCCGTATTACAGATTTTCTTGACTTTAAAACCGTCATCCATGCTTGGATATAAACTCTTATGGCTGTTAAGATCTGCTTTATTTTTGTAAGATTCGCTTTTGAGAAGATTCGTTCACATTCCAGTCGGTCCTAGGTGATGAATAAATTGCCTGCACTATCATAATTTGCTAGAGAGTAGATCTTTCCCTTACATTGAATTTACCTGCCTAAAACAGGGACTAATCTGTCTCCGTGCGACTATGGGCGCAGCGGCAAAAACTGCTTACTCTCTTTACGTTACACTAAAAAGTTTTCCAAGTTGTGAAATCGAATGAATTCGTGGTAAGTGTAATTGGTCGTCTCGTCAGATAATCCGGTAAAAATCGAAGCAAAATAGAAGTTTATATCATGACACAAGCACGTCAAATTGCTTGAAAATGTCCACAAAAAATTAGTTTCCTAGTAAACAGAAATGGGAACAGCTTGGCGAGAAATTAACAAACATGTTGAACAATTCCTGTAGCAATAAGACCGGGTGATTCAATTCAGGTATTATGAATACTGTGATAACGTATAAATCTTTTTCCTAGCAACAAATTCGAAGTCTCTTCGATTGATATCAAAGGAATTTTAGGTAAATTGAAACAATATGCAATACTCTTGTGAATATAATGCTGAAGTAGACACAATAGACTAAACTATAGACTTTACACAATGCAAAATTGTAGTGAGCACAACCGCTTGTACTTTCCCGTTGGTTTCTGGCTGACAATCCAAGTTAATCGGTAAATGCGGTGCTACGTGACCACCCAAACAACGGCGTCACAACATTGCGGTACAACAGCTTTATTTGCCCACAGGAAAACGTTTACCAACTATGGCAAAACTCAACATGCCAAAGAAATCCAGACACATGCAAGAGTGATGAAAATACATGAACGTTATTTCGGAAAATAATTTCCCTACATCTGGAACACAATATTTAAGAATGAGCTACATACATCTACATGAACAAAAAATTGTAAAAAAGCTCCGAAAGATTTAGGTGATGTCAAGGAAACGTTACAGGTTTCAAGAGCACTTACAGTATTATTAAGCCTGCTGGTTAAGCCTGTCGTCAGTAACCAGCCCGTGAGAACAACTTGTTTTAAATATCAAGAGGCTGGTTTATCTACTAATCTACTTCAATGGATGTGATCTGTATGGTGGCTTGCGACTAATAAGGTACAGTTCCCGAAGTGTTGGAGGCCACCTTCTTGAGGGAAGGGATCATGATTGTCTATTCGAAGCAGGGCAGTGGTGGTCTCAGAAAGGCAACATAATTCCATAGTCTTCACAACCGGAGCTACTCGCACCATCAATCAATTGTATTCTTTGTAAATTCACAACCACATTAGCCTTACACGATACCGACAAGCATAAAATGCATAAATTTAATCTAAAATACAGTTAATATTTTCTGCTAGGTGATTTGTGCCTAAGACGTAACCGACGTGTGAGTGTTTCAACAACACGTGAAATATCCCTAGATTTCACATGCAATGCGCTTGCATACGTAAGACCAATTTCGATTTTCCGTGATGGTTGTAAGCATGCCGAATCAAATTCCGATATGACAAACGTGCAATACAGCACATTACTTCGATGAGAGAGAGAGCCACAAACAAATCACGCTTTCTATATAAATTACAGTAGCGTGACCCATTGTACTCAATTTTTATGCATACCTACCAAATAAAATGGCAATAGTAATTAAGTCCATGTTCACTGATGCATCATTTGCAGTCGACTTCTTCATGAATCGACGCATCAAAAGTCAAATCTTATACCTCAAAATATACATCTTTCGAGGTGCAAATCTTCTCGACAGCATATAAATTCTAATTAATTAATATAATCTCCTCAGAATTTATATCTCCTCAGAAATAAATTCAACAACAGTGACACGTTAAAAAATAAATCGCGCATAACAATTCAGTGAATGAATTTCTCTCCTAAGGGGCACCGCACGCATTTGTGTACAAACCATCAGGTTTAACTTCTGATTATTTTATTTTCGATTTTATTTTCCTAATTCAAAACTCTACTATTCAGCTTCTTATTTCTAAATTATTATTTATTAGGGTAAGCATTAATCTCAAAGAGTTGGTATTTTATGACAGGATGGCAGGCACGAAGCTAGCACGTCAGTATGTCTGTGCTACCTGGGCTGGCTTGCGCTGGCCAGGTGAAGCTCCTGCTCCCGATTCAGAGGACATCCACCGGGCAGAAGCTCGGGCCAATGGTCATTAAGCAATATTTTTGCTGCGTTCTCCAGAACACAAATACCATTGAATATATTCATTTTTTCAAAGAAGTTTTCTTTCTATTACTATTTAGGTGACATTTAATCATACTTTCTACAGACAAGGGAGGTCGCGCTAAGGTTTTGTACAAAGGTTGTGTATTTCAACATTGACAATAAAAAAAAATTACAAAGTCGTGGAGACTTGAAATTTCTTATGCTTCTTACCTTCTTTCATATTTGAATCTTTAGTAGTGCAACTAAAACAAAGAAAGACCGTTTGAAACTAGCTGTGTATCGAAACATTTTGAAAATAAGAAAAAGGATTAAGTCATGGAAATGCATAAAATGCCACAGATAAAAGAAAAGTTAGGAACAATTTTCGTAACCTTGATAAAATTACTTGGCAAGGTAGCTTCAAGACTAACTTACTTGCTTGCTTTCAGTATCAACTTCATTGACATGACTCAGCATATATAATTCTGATCTGTTCTTACAAATAAGTAAGGGCTCGCCGGGCATGAGACAAGAAGACATGACAAACAGTGTCCATGATAAGATAAAAAAAATGAAATGAACGACTACGACGGCTGTGTTACGAATTAAATGCAACTTGAGCCATCAAGACATAAGCGGTAAATATAGAACTATGGAAACGAGATTTTATAGAAGAGATGCATCGTTTCATGATATGTGAAACTCGTCGTTACGTATCGAACTTTTGCCGTGACACATGATGATTAATACTGCGTTACCAAGTAAATGCAAGTGGCAGCAAACAATGAATAAAAAAAGCTATATTCGGTAAAAAATAGTGAGCGAAAACTTGAAATTTGACTGCGACATCACAGTTGACGAATTGCCTTAATATAATAAACGAGACATCGGTGATGCAGTTTCAAGAAATGTGAGAATTGACACGACAGCTGTTCCACAGTCTCGCGAAATGATCGCAAATTGTTAGCGGTAGATATAATGTTAGAGCATCATTAGTCTAACTGATCACGGATATGTAGAAATAGAGATATCTTTTAATTATGGTCTATTCCCAGCTTCTCGAGCTGCTCTTCGTCCATGACGATGACAGCGATGAGAGCTGCGACGACGAGCCAAACAGAGACAAGGTATAGCGCCAGCAGAGCCTTGCGGAAGGTGCCACCCTGCCAAAAATCAATATTTTATTAATAAATACTATTCAACATTATTATTTTAAATACAGTTCAAATTTCGAAATAAGCTAAGATTATCCCATTAGCCCATAAGAAGTATCTACGTTTACCTTCAATCAATACGCAATTTACTCGATTTTACGCATTTATCTTCTGAAGTGATGCTATCGATTCAAATTTCTTCTGATCTTTAATATTATGTACATTTTCTATTACCTCCGAATATATACATTCTATCATACTACTATATGCTTGGAAAACCATCCACTACTTTAGCTGGGGATTTCTTAATAATGTGGAATTTCAACATTTTTTCTACGACTCCACGGATACGTCGTTAATGTAAACTCTATCTTACGCGGCCCTGTAAGGGGAAAATCTTTCGGTATATTAATTCTAAACCTTTTGTCAAGGGCAAAATTAACGGCAATCGACGCTAAGATTATTCGTACCGAAGGGGACTGGCAACTAACGGTACAGTCAGTGGACACAAGATCATCTCTAAGCACACAAAAACATTAATCGTAGTTAATGTTTTTCGTAGGTAAAGGCCTGCAACTTGAATTACAGTCAGTAAACAAAGAGCTGAAGACTTGACTGACTGGCGCACCGGAGGCTGTCACAGTGTTTATATAAAATAAACTACGATAAACACCATTGCTTCATCTTTAATGTCTGTAATCTCCCTAATAAAACGAAGTTAATGCAATTAATTAAGACAGGCGCATTATAGTTGAGTGGAGGCTGCAACAGTGTTTGACCATTCGAACCCGGTGGAAGTCTAGTAGCTATTTCAAACTATCGTCAGTCTTGAAAAGATACGGTCAAATGACACGATTTTAGATCTTCCCAAAAGTAAAAGAATCGGAACGATTAGTCCGAAAAGTAAAAGAATCGGAACGATTAGTCCGAAAAGTGAAAGAATAGGCGACAGGCCACATCAGGCCTACTCTTCAGCGCTGACATCACTATGTTATGTTATATAAAATACACCGCACCATAAACGGCTTTTATACTTGTTCTTTTAATCTCCCAATAGTTGAGGTCAATGCAAAGTATTAAATATACTGACGGGCGCATCATAGTTGAGTGGAGGCTGCAACATGTCCCTGCTGCTGTGAAGCTCCGTCATCTGCAGCCCTCCCGACACCTGCTTCTTGGCCTTCGAGTCCGACACGCACTCCCCGATCTGTCGACACAAGATAGCGATAAATATATCACCATACAAACAAACGCTAACAATGTCTAAAGGAAGTATGTAGGAAAACTCGAGCGACTGTTCAGAAGATTGCGTTAGTATTTCGGAGAGAATAGTTTAAGAAGAGGAATATAAGACAACTGATGAATATTCATCTCAGTGGAACACACTTCGCGTTGCAACTTCGATTTAGGAAAAAAGAAACAGGCCGCTAATTTCCACCAAAATTACGTCGAAATATGTAGGTACATTAATTAGTAGGCAAACTATATCAATACCCCAACATGAGCACTTTTTAAAATTATTATATTAACCAACGAAAGAGTATATTCATGAACCAGGATCACTCACCGACATGAGGATGTGGAGGAGGCAGTGCACACCCACGAAGGCGATCATGAGCCACCAGGTCCAGCGGGGCAGTCCGTACAGGTCCAGTCCATAGAAGATGGCAGTGATGCCCAGGATCTGTGCCGCGTTGCCTACGCCCCAGTGGAGCCAGTTGAAGATGGGTCGCCTGGAGTCCTTGGGGCTGCAGCGCAGTGCCGCCATGAACGGTTGGATGAAGCACAACGCTGAAACACAAAGGTGTTTACGGGGTTAGTTAATTTTTGCAGATTTAACGCACAACTTCTTGCATTCTAATTTTTCCCCCTTTTCGGGGTCTTTTTCTAGTTTAATTTACCAACTACACATGAGTAACAAAGTTTAACAATCGCTTTTATCCCTTAACTTTAGAGTTTAGACTATGCTGAGGGCTCGGTGTATTTTTACAGCCCTATCGCGTCAGCCCTTGACAGAGATCAGGCTGGCAAGGTTTTTTGCAATCAACCTGAAACTAAATTTTTCTGCAAAAAAAAAAACCTTTGTTCAAAGTTCTAGCCTGCAACATTTAGCTACCTTTAAATTATGGCTTTACGGTGCCACCTTGAATTGGCTCTGTACGAGCCAATTTCTGAAACCGAGCTGCTAATCTCAAAGAAGCCATAGATGGCAGCTCTTAGCTGGCCATCACTAAGTGTTCAGGTGAGCATTTTCAGTGGTTTGTGGCATTAAAAAAAAGTAATTGATGTAAAAATCTGAAATAAATCCGTCCACAAATTATTGATAATATCTACTTAATTTTCAAATTTGAATGAAATCCGTTCATTGTTGGATTTATGGCTGTAAGAGTTGAACGTCAGATTAGGTTTTGCATTCGAGTGCGCAGGCCAGTTCGCAGGCGAGTTCGCTGAAGTGTCGATCCGGCAGCCTTTGCATTCTATGCACGTGATGACGCATGTCTGACCATTATCTTATTTTCTGTAGTGCAGAGTTATAGAAATTATTTTTGAGGTACACTATTTCTTTGTCGCATTTGCTCGGTCAACTTACTTCCCAATACAAACAAAGAATCTTGAAATAAAAAAAAAGGTTATTAATAAGATCTGACTTTGTATACTGCAATTCAGCTATTTTTTAGAGTTTACGTTATTTTTTTGCATGGTAGGAAGCAAGTGGGGGTAGTTGAAATTGTTAGCATCGTAACCTCAAACGTGAAAATAAAACATGACCTGACGAGAAGTCTTTGTACGAGCCAAAGCCTCTGCAAATTTCAATACAAATTGTTTCCTAAACGCTATAACAAACAATCTCGCAGGTCTCAGTGAATATAAAACACAATTTTCGTGCATAAGCTCGCTATCCCAGTTTGTCCGCTGAGACTATCAGAAAGTCTAACGTAACGTCGTAAAGCTGTGGATCTGCCCCGAGCTAAAATAAATCCTACATCCTATTTCATACCAGCTGTACCTTAGTGTCATTGCATAATCAATTATAGTTAGAAACGACCACATTTACTCAACAACCTTATAAATCTAGTCTATACATGATATCTGCGACTAACTAAGTTATTGTAGTCAGTGAGCCGCTCCATCGAAAAATTTTATAAATGAACGGCGGTCAAATTTCTGAGAAGAAAAAGCATAGCTCAACTCGCTGATGCCTCAAAAGTTTAGAGGCCCAATTTACGAGCCTCTAATGGTTACAGGCTCCATCAACAAACATTTTAACCTGAAGTAGCAATAACTGTGGCCCAAAATTTACGCATTAACGAATTAAAAAATTTTGTTCTCACATTTAGCACTTTCTTAAAATAAATTGATTAGAATAGCACATCATTTTAGAAAATAGCTAGAAAAAAGTTCATTTATCCACTTTATAAATATATTATATAAATATAAATAATAAATTCCATATTCACACATGAAAATGTAAGGAATAATATTCTGGTTCTCACCTATTGAGACAATTCCAATGTATGCATGAGGGTTAACGTCCGCGGGGGTGTCGGTCCAGCCTTGCTTGTACCACAAGATCAGGCCTAGCGAGCTCATAGTCAACACCCATGTCAGGATCATGAAGAACCGATGACACTGACAAGTACAAGAATAACAGGCGTTAATTTTCACTATCACCTTTGATATCTGGAAAATATATTGTCAAACAGATAAAAAAATAATCCTGTAGATAAATGGATGCTATAAAATTCGTGCAATTCATTTTTTACTTCTACAATTTTTAGCCGATGCAAGGGAATTTTCCGCTCAAGGAGGATCAAGCAGACGTCGACATCCTGAGGCTAAAGCATAGCAATGAATGCTGGCAAATTATAGATTTTTAGACAAAAGAACAATGAGACGACTTACTGTCGTCATAGAGTAAGGAAATTAGCATGAATTTTGCTCCCCTACGGTAAATAATCCATTACGTTATAAAATTGATCGTTTCTCTACAATTTTAATCAAAATCAACCGGATGATGCTTAAAATGACTTAATTTAAAAGAACAAGTTTCATATGCTTCTATGAAACGAATGATTTATCAAACAAATCAATGAGTAAACATTTATCAAATATGAAGATGAGCGTCCACATAGCGCAAGAGACAAATCGTCATAATTTTCTCAAGGTCGCAAGTGAGCGGCGCTTGCTAGCTGCTGAAGGTGGTGCTTTCAGCATGGCCTTGGGTTGCTGTCGTCTGGGTACTTCATACCTGGGCCTATACTTTCAAAAAAAGTTAAGAGATCGTAACTTCATCAGTCAATCATTGACGGCCTTTCAAGCAAAATCCACCAATCCCAGACAAGAAAATAGAGCATAAGTACTTACGTTCACTTAGCGAGTTTTGAAAGTATGGCTCCTGGAAGGATCTTAAGGTCTACTCTCATTCTTACATGGAACCACTGGTCGATGCCGCAGGTTTTGTAGCTCTTCCAGGTTTGCTTGAAATATCGAGCGATGAAGATACCGGTTGAAGCAGCGCCCACCCAGGCCGCAACCATGAAGCAAGCGTGCAGGACCAGGAAAATTTGGTTGTCAACCCCTGAGAGCGCCTCGAACTGTCCCAACGACGTTGCCTGGGCCGATGCCAACCTGGCGGCGTGGTAGTCCAGTGTGCCATCTGAAGAAAACCGTATTTTCCACTTGATTGCAACTGTTTTGATTTATTATTCATGCTCTACTGCCTGACTAATCATAGAAAAATTAGTCATTTTATTTATATTCCATGATTTCATATTCATAAAAATGTCATTTTAGTGATATTTCACGAATTCTGAGGTAGTCAAACTTGTTTCCTTTAGCTATAATTTTCGCCCTCGTGCGTAAAAATCGAGTCATAGAACAAGGAGTGCGGCAATTATTTTAAATGATTAGTTAGCATTGATTAGCGCAATAAGAATTATAAAACGCCTCATTCAAATCTCTGAGGTTTTCCAGGTAAGAATACGATACTGTACCTATAACTTGGAAATTTGGACAGTTGGACAAAACAGGTAAAGTAACAGAAGTGAAATCTTTGTATCTTGACCAAATTATGTTCCAAGTCTGCCAGGAATTACAATTTGGCTTAAGAAAGATGAAATCTTGATCACGGAGTTCACTCAGAATGAATCATACACAACAAATTCAATCAAGAACATTAGAATAAATAACATGAAATCAGACATACAACCACGAACACCTGTCCGTACCCTGATCGAGAGGGCCGTGGGCCACCTGCAGATGGAAGGTGCCGTTGTCGAGGTCGTACGTGTTGCTGCCCACGACCAGCCTGGCGGCACGCGTGTAGCGGCACAGAAGGACGCCGTCCAGGAAACTCGTTGTGATGTCCGTCAGGCCATAGTGCGGCTGTAGAAATAATATTTGTTTAAATATTTCTAATAAACCAAAGGGGGAGCATTACGCGATACTTTACTTCGATGGGAAAATAATTTAGATATAATAAAAGTGTTCTACAAAAACACTTGTCGTAAACAATATAAATTGTAAAAACAAATGTCAGTAGTTCATTAATGTTTTGATCAGATATTAAAGATGAATATTAGGTATCAAGATACTCATATGGTCAGGAAACTTTTTAAACCCGAGTGTGGACGTCGATTTAATCCGTTGTTGAAAATCTTTTGGTGAGAAGCTAGAGCAGCAAATGAACACAATGTTTAAAAGTTGCAGGAGGTGTACTCATTGAACAATAAATTACCTAAATAAAGCCTAAACAAAGAAACCTGAAGTAATAATATTAACCTAAAATCACATGACAGTGGACAGGATCTAAGGTGACAATAGATGTTCGATAGTAATAACCATAATTAAACGCAATCGAAGCTCCTAACAAGAGGTGATGTTGCTTCAGCCACAACAAGAAACATGGGACTAAGTAGAGGGCCAAAAGCGACACTCACCTCTTTCAAGAAGACGTTGTCCTTGCCTTGGTTGTAAGTCATCACGGCGTCAACCACTCCGTTGTTCAACACGCATGCCACGACGCTGTCGTCGCCCTGTACGTCAATAACAATAACCCGCATGAATTTAATCCATTTACTGGCAGTATTAAGAAATGCGCATTCTTTGACACGACATTCATTGCTGACTAGCTTTCTCAAAGTAAATTTCCTCAAGATTCCAAATCGTGCAACACCGGCATTTCCTACGGTCAGCAGCGATCAATGCATGTCAATGGTATTTTCTCAATGTATAATAAATCTTAAAATATTTATACGTTGAAAATGTTCAACAAAAAGAAACAATTGAATAGCATCAACACTTACAATAACAGGGGCTGAACTAAAAACAAGCTTACCATAAATTCATCGAAAGATAGGCCCCCTGCCGCGTAGACGTTGCCTTGGTTACCAGTGAAGTCGCCCATTATTTCAAAATGGTATCCCCCATCAGACTTCGTGTAGGTAAAGAGAACTTTACAACTGTAAGAAAAACTCAAGTTAGCGGATTTAATAATAAAGTTTTGGTTCAACAACGGCAATTGTGAAGACAGAGTATTGCAAGTGAACGGATCCAATAATGTGGTAGTTTAACAACCGTAATTGTGATAACGCAAGGTGGAGCTGTCATCAGTTAGTTGGACGAGCACACCAGTTGCGTAAACTTAATGTTCTGAAATTACATTAGACGATACGAATCGCAGTCGAGATGACGAGAAACACTTAATTAATTTTAAAAGAAAGAAATTTAAATAATTGGTTGACTAGCGATAACTGAAATTGATGCTTGTAACCGAACCACTTAAAGTTCTGATTCCATGGTCGGAGACCATTTTTTTAAAAGCGTGCTTTTCACCTTCTCAATACAATAATACTTTTTAATACATAGAATCATAATCATTCTTAGAACAATCTTCGTAATGATAATGACAGCAGGTTACTTGGTGCTAATAAAACTTCTTAGCATAACATACAGTGGGAAGAAATAAATATTCGTACACTTGAAAAATCGTATTTTAATGTATGTAAGTACACAAACTTAACAGGAAAAGTGATTTAAATTATGTATAGAGACGCATAGTATTCAAAAATACTATCAAAAGAAATTAAATCTCAATGCAACAAAATAATAATGCGGATTTATTGTTTTGTACGAATACTTTTTTCACCCGAAAAGTGAACATGTTGCATTGTTTTTTGTTGCATTGAGATTTAATTTCCTTTGATAGTATTTTTGAATACTATGCGTCTCTATACATAATTTAAATCACTTTTCCTGTTAAGTTTGTGTACTTACATACATTAAAATACGATTTTTCAAGTGTACGAATATTTATTTCCCCCCACTGTAACAGAACAATCTTTGTCATGATAACGACAGTAACTTACTTGCTGCTGGCGACGCAGTTGAGCGGGACGCCAAAGCAGCCTTTATTGGAGTTACAGCCCACGTACATTGGGGCTGCGCTGCTCTGTAAACACGCCAGTTAAAAAAAATTATTTGTCGACCAATACACAAATCAAATGGAGATCGCAATAATTTTGTAGCGACATTTACATCATATTGAAGTTGATAAGTATAATGAACGTATGAGATTTGAATTCAATGGTACACGAGACAAAAAGCTTGTGATACGTTGTTACTGTCAGCCTATACATATATAAAAGAATGGAACATACAAATATAACTTGTCTATCAAAGTAAAAAATCTAAATGTGAATTCACAAATTTCATGCTTAATTTCAGTTGATGTTTAATACCAAAGATTGTCACAATAATTCACTTCAACAAATTGGAATGAAATGGAATTGCAAAACAATGCATGGGTTATTTGGAATTTTCAGATACATAAAAACCATGGCATCCCACACTTTTTTTACTGCATGTTTTACAGGTCTAAATGCCCGGCTTAAAAATAGTGCAATATTTTTAAACATGGGGAAGCGAGAATTTTAAGAAAGATAGAAGGTAAGAACATAATCGAAAGTTACAAGAAGCAAATTATTGTATCAATCATGGAAGTCGAATGACCCATAAAACAACTGGAATCTATTACCATACATAGTATTATTAATATACTCGTCTTTTCGTGGCTTATAATAACTACCTTTGTAGGTATCATTGGAACCATGGCACAAAGTCAGCCTGTTTAAAATGACCTAATGACCACAGTATAAAACCAAAGTGCCAGTTAAATTCTAGACGAAAATGACTGCATGAAACTTATTTCTCCCCAACTTTTCTCAATAGTTTATAGAAGACTTAGGTAGTAAATATTGCAGCAAGGCACAAGTGAAACGCATTACTAAAGTTTATAGCTAACTTGTTAGTCAATAAATGCTCCACTTATCATCCCAAAAGATTCCGGAGAAAATGAGAATACGTTCACATGCAAAACTTCCCATGTGAATCCCTTCAAAACATCAATTGTGAAAAATGTTTAGTAGTTGAAAAAGTAGTTGTCCAACTATCCTTAACTTTACATTGCATGCATTTCAGGATACCAGGTTGTAAGAGCACGCATGACAATTCGATTGCGAATCCCCACAGAGATTTGATTTAAAGTTATCGTAGATGATCAAAGATGGTTCCGCTGAAATGCTGTAGAGAGAACAGGTAAACAAGCTAAATTACATCGTTAGCAATTGGGGTTCAAAGGCGCCGCCTAAGAACCACATAAGAGATTGTTATAGTTTGGAAGTACGAAAATGCGTACCGTACAAGGCCACAGAAATAGAACCAATAAACATACAGTTATGAGAAAAAAACTTATTTTCGTCAAATTGGCAGAACCGAACGATATCACAAACTCCAAAAAAAAGGCTACATGACAAGAGTAGGGTATTCAATACCGCACAACATGGTACCGCTAAAGGCACAAGTAACTCCACCACCTCCACCCAGAAGAGACCGTCATGCTTGTTTCCATAGACAGGACAGGACATTAATAAACTTATATGATTTCAGACTAAGAAGTTACTAAGGAAGCCATTCATGAGAATTGTAAGTACAGGGATAAATTCATCGATAGATTAGCAGAACGTAAGGATTCAACCTTCAGCATAACATGCCTTTTACATCACATGCTTTGCATAGTTCTAATTAAACGATAAAAAATCATTTATTTCCCTTCTTACGTGCATTTCATCTCGACAGTTCAAACATTCTATCCGTTCACGAAGCTCCAAAACGACATTTCTGCATGCAACTTAAAAAAAATTTCAATCATGAAGCCTTTGCTGTCGATTTTTATTTAGAAATAAATACTAATTTATGATCTTATCATCAATTTAAGCAACGGAACCCAATTTCAACACAATTCCTAAACCTGCTAACACCAAAAGGACAGTGAGCAGAATCGATCTACCAGGCATTTAAAGGTACGGTACTGTTCTAAGGACAAGGTATCAGAAGCGTAAGGACGAAATCAATTATAATTCACGGACGCCAGGATGAGAGTTGATTATTAGACTTCATGCAAGAAAACATGCAGCAATAGAACATACTCGTATTATTTTTAGGAGGAAATGCACAATATAACAAAAGTGGCAATAGAGCACTTAAGTTTTGTTGTTATCTGTGGAATAATCAAAGCGTTTGAATGAAGTCCTGAGAAAGGACTTCATTCAATTCATATATTACGATTAATATTGCTATTTTGACCCATTTTGAGAAGACAAGAATATCATTGAAAACTTCAGACGAAACCGATTAATTGAGCCGAAAAAAAAGCTTCATTGGTCAATGAGAATTTAAAATTCGTAAGAAATCTCAAGCACGGCACAGCGTCTCACGCTTAGCGTACAGAAAGATCAAATTCTAGATACCTACGGAAATTCACCAGTCAATTGACGCTGAGAACAAACCGGTGCCGTAATATTCCTTAAAAAACGGGGAATCTCAAAGAAACAATCTTTGGTTAACTATATCAGACTATGAAACAAATTCAGCATAAATATAAGAAATTTGGTGCTAAAGACTACAGCTCATTAATCAAATGGGGAACGAATTCATACCAATTGGTGTCAGGTGATCTTCTATCACCCTCTAGGTTATCATACGTCACCCTCTTATAACATGTTCTGTACCCACATGGTAGAGTCACACTTAGTGACGTCATTTGGAAACTTACAGAAATAGTTGATTCTCTAAAAAAGTAACTGTGATCGCAAAATAAATCCATTTATTTTCACGGCGAACAGGGAATTTACGTAAAAGGAATACGTGATTACCCTAACCTAACGCATTCATGATGTCTGCTGCCAGAAAATAGAGCGACACTCTCACGAAGTGATCAACTATTTAATGCGGCCACGCAAGGACTATGAGCTACCACATTACTAATCGTTCAAAAATGAAATGAAACAGCTGCACCAAAGCATGCAAGTTCTTCTAGGCTTAATAAATTATTAATATTTGAGATTAGTAAATGCCTTACCCATTGGTGAATTAGAAATTTCTAGAATTGATATTTCCTAAGACCGAAAATGTTAAAACAACGCTAAAAAGCATACGAGACACAACAGTAATAAGTAACAAAGAGTGACACAAAAATTTTTTGAACGAAACCAACCACTCAACATGTAGCTAAATCACTCCACTGCAATTCCATTTGTCGCTGAAAAATCAACACAACCAATAAGCGAAATAAAGAAATTTTCGGAGTTCAAATGAATCTCAGCCAAGATACTTAGTGATAGAGCTTCGAGTCGTGCAGTACACAGGTTCGTGGAGACAATAATTTGAATATTAAAATTTTAATAATATTAGGGCCTATATATTATTCGAAAATACAACCTTTAGATTCCCGGTGAGGTTAGTGAAGCCACCAACAGCATCGAAAGCCCCCGTGTGAATTCCGTGTACAACACCAAGAACATCCAGGCTACGGAAAATTCACCGAACGATTCAGCAGGATTTTCTTTGAAGGTACTAAAAATGATGTTATAAATTTCCGTAGCCAAGATTTCTTGCTGTTTAATGTTGCAAGATTTCGTCATACAATGAGATGTCTTGGCTTTGGCTCGAGTAGGAACATTGATCCTAATCTGAATGAGTATTTGAGTTGTCTTCGAGCTAGGCCAGCAAAATTATATGAATCTGAGCTGAATAATGAAGCATTTCAAGACACTTTGCACTATAATGAATAATTATGCATAACATATACCTCAAATGGAAGGCATTCTTTAACAGGTTTTAATTATTTCATTTGGCATAATAACTCATTGTCTTGATAGATTACCCGCTACCCAAGATTCATAAACTGATGTAACTGAAAAAAGACAATCAATAAATTGTTTTCAATTCCTTGATTCAGCCAAATTCACCCCAAGACAAGACATCTTCTTGCATTTATTACGAGATCTTTGAGAAGTTGATGCACCGAAGCCAGCCTCAACGAACAAGTTCGAACACCAACACCGGCAATGCGGACGCGCTTGGGAGAACTCGTAGTTGTGACGGACCGCGCGGGAGCAGCAGTTGTGACCCGCCCTCTGAAGTCCCGGAGCAGGCCCCTGGCACGAGTCGTTGCGCCGCCAGTGGAGGGAGTTGGGGCAGCGGCAGGCGATTCCTCAAAATCGTTTGCGGCACCGAGAGACTCGGGTAAAATAGGTGCTGTTAGTTCACTATCAGTCTCAGCAGCGGAAGGCCCGCTTTGAGCGCTTAGCGGAGCATCTACAACTCTAATAGCGACAGGAGATGTAGACTCGGAATCCTCTACAGCCGCGACAGATACAGTTAAAGTGGACGCACTGACCACATCGCTGTTGGCGGGAACTCCGTCTCTACGAGGGGCATCTACAACTCTAATGGCGGCATCACCTGGGTTGCTAGCGCCAGGTAACAAGACAACTCCACCGCTTACTGCCGATGTTGTAGTTGGCGCCGTTGTCTGGGTTGTCGTAGCCGGAGCTTTCGAGGTCGATGGTGGGACCTCAGCAACTGATCGCTTCACTGTCACCTTCTCGGACGTGACGCCTGTCCAGAATGTGCTATAATCCTGCACCACAGTTGCCCTGAAACAAAAACATTCTTTTACTCCGAGATTCATAACATAATAAGCAATGTCACTGCACTTAAGCGGACTCCATAATAATGAACATAATAAGTAATGTCACCGCACTTAAGCTGACTCCATAAAAATGTACCATGTACTACGGTAATTTTGTAAATTATATTACACGCGCTTCCATTTTACCAAGTCGAGTCGAGCCAAAAAGTAAGTTGTTAATAAACAAATAGTAAGCGATAGTTAACATTTTCGCGGTGGTTAGGTTACTATAGGCATAATTTCAGATTTTAACCAGAGACTAGCAGAGAAATTTGTGAACGGCCACTTCAAGCATTTCAAGTTACAGCTCGTCAAAACGTTTGGCAGGCATTAAGACCACATTTCTTAAAATGCCAATGTAGTTGAGGTAACTGTAGTAAGAAAAAATAATTACAAAATATTTGATGCATGATGAGTCCAATAGGTACCAGAGAAAATACTTACTATGTCCCCTCACAAATTAATTTCCATAATCGCGATGTATCACCTCACTAAACAATAAATTATTATCGCGATGTATCGTGAACACCACAACCACTTGCATTAAAATTCTATCGATTTCTTCGTCTTGAGGTAAATGTAAGGAGAATTCTACGTACAATGCACGTGATATAATACTGCTTTCAAAATGCAACTCAAGTAACTAACCCTCAAAGTTCAGTCAAGAAGTCGAGGTAGTTTACCTTTGCCTCATCCGCTTCGCTGCTTAAAATATGATGACGTACATTTTTAAATCTAGCTTACTCTATCAGTAATTGATGTAAACTCAAGGCATTAATGATTGCATCATGCATTACATTGTACCATGTTGTTCAATAGTTAGAACAGAATAAAAAAATTCGTCTATTCTGACAAAAAAATATATCTTCAACATTAGTACTCTTATATTGCGGCCATTTTTCGAAGTAGCTAATATGAACGGCACTTGTTTCCTTCACAAAAGTTTATATAGCAACGCCCACGACTCAAGGAGATTATAAAATAGAATTTAATTTATTGCAACATATTTTCATTAATCTTTTACCCATTGAACTGGCCAATCACCTCAATTTGAAATAAATGAGAAATATTAAACTCGGTCATATCATGACATTGAACCGATGAAAAAAAATATAACTCAGTACTCACTGCAGTGAGTGACAGAGCGCGCATTTTCTCGACGACGAAAACTTGAGGTCACGGACAGACGGACGGACGGACAGACGGACGGACGGACAGACAGACAGACGGACATGGCGAGCACAATAGTGCATTTTTTTCCATAAATCGGAAAATGCGCTAAAAATGAGAGAAAATCAGACAGCGCAAAGTTTGCTCAACACAAAAACACAAAAATTCCCATTGATAAAAAAAATCAGTTCCACCAATGGAAACTGTTGCTCGAGCATGGAGCAACTGTCTCCTTCTTAGCTACTAGTCACGATATTCCAATCATAACTTTTGATACGCTTGTTCGATTGCTTTGCAAGCAGTCGCATTGATGCCAAACAAAGCATACGAGACGCGGTGTTTCATAATATTGGCCTGGAGCAACACTAGTCTTTGTGCTGCGATACCTTCTGTTATTATTTCCCTCTGACGCACTCAACTTTCATCGAGATCTCAAAGTCGTGGTGACAGCGGCTTTGAATTCCTTTGCATTTTTTGTTCGTACGAGCGTCATAGTCTAGTTTCCTTAGCATAACGTAGGTACATACTTCCATCAGAACATATTTAAAATTCTAGATAAAAATTCACAGAAATTTTTGACGAGCAGGATTTAGCCGCTATATTTTTAATGATCGTAAATTCTAAGCACCAATTCAATTAAATACCAAAAACTTTATTGTGATGACAATCACTACAGTGGTGTTATAATTTCTGTTTTTTTTTACTAGCTGTATGGCTACGTTTTCATTTATGTCAATATAGAATATGTTAGCATGCAACCGTGAAAGATATTTTATTAGTAGATAATCAACTGAATCAATCAACTGAAAAATACAAAAACAAAATTTGATCATTGCGAACAATGATGAACACGAGATTCAATGCAAGGCGGATGAAACCTAAGTGGTTTTTGTTTAAGGCAGTAGTAAACTTCAGAGATCAGTTTCAAGAAATCAGAAATTGAATCTACTAATTATTTCATAGAGAAAAGTAGTTCCGATGCGTTGAAATTAAGCATTTCTTACGCGCCTGCTTACTTAAGGATGAAAGAAAAAAGAAGAATTTGTTTGACAAGCTAAAAATAAACGCTGAAAAACACATCAGAAAAGAAACTTGATTAAATCGAATACTGGCAATCATGATAAAGTTAGAGATAGGGGATGTCAAGAGAACAATGTAAACTCGAAAAATATATCACGCCGATAAAAAATCACAGATAAAGCCGAGACTAATTTGAAAAAAAAAAATACATGAAAATCGAGCGCGAAGGTTACGCCACGAGCCAGCATTGTTCAGAATCACACGGCGAGCAACTCACGTTGATGAACCAAAGCATTTTTGTGTAAGTATTTTATACTGTGTTTCTTTTTATACACTGCGGTGTCTGTTGTAAGTGGGTTCACAAGTTCGAAGTTTCCCTCTGCATTAGAATTAAGGATCACGATGAGTCACACTTATCTTAGATCATTAAAACAATGAGTCATAAATAACCAATCTTAGATAATTCAAAGAATGGAGTCACTAGTCAGTGCCAACAAAGGAAGCCGACCGGATACGAGGAGCCGACATGATCGACTAAGATTCACTAAATGTCAGAGAAATAACATACAAAGTCAAGAAGTCTCAACAGATATCTTGCAAATGCGAACACAGTAAACTCTATCGATAACATTTTTTGGTCCAGAATTAAATATCATAGCATAACCCACGAATTGTGCTGAAGACTATAACAGCATAGATGATATATTGGGGGATTTATTGCACTGACACCGCAGAGCAGTGAAATAAAAATGAGCATAATTAATAACACAGGCTACGCTTGTTTCATTGATTACAATTTGCAGTATGATTCGTATCCTCAAAAGCCTGTTCCACATTTTGGGTCATGCAATGGGATAAATTAACCTCTAACCGTTTCTAAACAAATGCATTCTTTACACTCTCCAATATCACAGAAAACTATCAACAGCATGAGAAAAACTTGCTAAATCTAAATGTACTAAAATAACTAAATCATACAGACATTATGTCTGCGAGGTAAATTTAGGTTTACTAATTGAATGTACTTGCATTTTTGGATTATCCAACTATATCGACGGACCTGGACTCGGAAACGCTTTTTTCAATAAAGATAGTGAATTTTTCGGCAATTTTCTTAGCTTTTAAATTCTCGCTAAAGAGATGAATAAAAATCTTATCAATTCGGAACACAGCGGTCCGCACGAGCTCTAATGATATGCGCAATTGATTTGGTAAAAGATTTACTTGTAATTTTTCGCACAGGCAACGAGAAAAAAGCATAAATGCCAGAATGAGTAGAAACCGTATCTTAATAAATTAATTGAATTTGCACTACAAAATATTGAATTATATAAAAGGCTTTCATTTTCATAAGGTTGTCATATAGATGAATAAAATAGTATTTTTTCCTGTTCAAAGGAAAGGAATCATTTAGTATTGCTTGAATACTTGACATTTGGTCTTATGAAATTAAGAAAATAGAGGTGAGTACGATAGAAACAATGAATATTCACACACAAACAAGTGATACAACTGCCTATTGACAGAAGTTTCCACACGACGAGATGGTGAAAACGACGAGGCCTTGAGCAATGAAAGCAATGTAAACTTTTCAATGTAAATTGGATAAAGACTAAACTTCCTAGTATGAGAGGAGCATAATAGAGTTTCATTAAGACTCAAGTTCACTTAGACATGCACGCACACACTGTATACAAATGAACAATTAGAGTGTGTTTCCGGCATCGTATGCAGAAGGAAATGAATTCCAGCAACTACAAGGAACTATTATGCATAAGAAATAATAATGAGCAATGCATGGAAAGTTCGAGAAATTCACTAAGGTTGAAGCATCTGCTGTGATAACCACCCATTTCCAATTTCATTTTGTTAGAAAGTTTCACAAATTTCCAAAAAAATTCCATCTAATACATTACAAGATTTTGATTTGAAAAAAAAAAATAATAATTATTCTAATGAAATAGTGTAAGAGGTTTGTTCTTCATAGTCCTACATTCTTCTGCTGTATTACCTACTCCTTCACCAGCGCCTCAAAAAAGTAAATACAGTCTCGATGACCTCCTCCCAAACCAAATACATATGTTGCCCTGACAAATATTTAGTCTACCATTCAGTTCTGGAATCCGAGCTATTTGCCGCACTTACTATAAAAACAGCAAAAATAAAATTTTAAAATGTACAAATAACCTCTTGTAATCTGACAAATAACTTCAAGAACCTCATCAATAAACGGTAGCTGGTAATTTTATTTTTCCAAAATTAGACAAACACATCATCAACTAATCATATGGGCTTTAAAACAGAACGGTCAGTTATTCAGGTAATAAATTGTTAGAAGAGGAATCAAATCATTCTTACGATATGTATACTTCCGTCAAATAATTTGTTTGATAACTGTCACCATTGAACACAGCTAAATTTCAAAATTTCGGTCAATTATCTCCATATAGTTGCATATAATTGAAGTAATTTGGCGGCGATTCCCCTTTCTGCACCTTATAAGACCTTCCACTTTTACACTGGATCGAGTACCATTACGAGAGGTAGACAAATTTGCCGTCTTTCGTTGCAGCAGGTTGAGGTATTCGCTGTTGTGAGTTGCTTATGTAAGCAATGGCATTACCATGCAAAATTTCAAGAAGTAAATGTAAGATTTACTGTTTCGACTGGCTTACGGTTATGTACAGTCATCATTAAGAACCAAATCAATCAGTGGGCAGGTGAACATACGATCTGTGTATTAAATGGCTCAAATTTGAGGGAAGTACAAGCATCACTGATCAAAAATTAAAGAATTTACTAAGAATTTTTCTTTTGGATTTTATGGTTGTTTTGAAAAGCGATTTCATCAAAAGGTCTAGCAATGAACATGCCAGTAACATACCTGAAGGTGACGTCGCCAGCGTAGCCTGAAGGAGGCGTCCACTGCACCACGACGCTCTGCTTGGGCGTCTTGTCCAGGTGGGTGACGGCGTTCTGGAGGAGAGTGTAACATGTAAAATTAGTATCGAGATTCAAGAAACTCTGAATAAAGAAACGGTAAATTCTACACAGAATGAGAAACCAATACTTTTGACAACTAAAAAAGTTTGATACACACCAACAAGCTGATTTACGGTTGTTGGTGGGAATAGTTGCATTGGTTGAAATCGAATAATTGTCTCGGACAGAAGTCCTATTGAAAAACGTACTGAAGAAGCATTACTTCGCCTGAGAAGACTTCTAGATCAGAGCGAACAATGTACCTCTGAAACTAGAATAGTCTGGAGAATGGTTTCTGTGACAATTGATAAATAACATTTCAATGTTGAAAAAGTTTCTCATTATTGTGGAATATAAATAAATCAAGGGAAGTTACGTGGGAACAACGCACTTGCTACTTCTCAAGATTGTCCATGGGGTATAGACAATCATATGAGAATATTAAACAAAGCTCCGTGAGAAGGCCCAAGGATAAACAACCTCAGGGACTAACAGAAGTCATGACCAGCGTGCAAGAGAAAGCATTAATGATCAACAACAGCCCCGGCACCGGCAGCATTGCTGACACCAGCACAGGTAGTTCGCTATATGTACGCTTGGTCACCTCCCGAACACTCGGATAGATGGGCAAAAATAAAATGCTCTGATTGGCTAAATACTTCATTGTAGAAACCAATCAACAATAGAGAACCCAATTAATAACCCATATTTCCATCGCGCAAGTGTCAGTCATTTCAGGATTTCATAGTCAATAAATACAACACAAACTTAACACTAAATAATGCATCCCTGACAGCACTTTAATGAATTTATTGCAATAAACACGTTTTCGGTCATACCAGATTTCATAGTTACTAAAGTACAACAAAAACTTAACACTACATAGTGCATCCCTGACAGCACTTTAATGAATTTAAAGTGCTGCCTATAATAATGAACAGAATTTATAGCAATAAACACGTTTTCGGTCGGCTGGTTGAAATCGTCGACGTGTCGCGCAAGTCACGCAACGGCCTCAGCTCCCAAGGTTACGTCGCGTCGTGACCACGCGTAGCCGACGTGGCAGCGCTCCCCAGTCTCGCCGCTCCGGCGCACAAGAACAACAATGCCATGCTCACTCAAAAAATTAATGGACCATATTGTCCAAATAGTAACACAATTTCTCAAGCACAGCATGAGCAGAGAGTGTACGTATCACTGGTATGCCTTTTTGCCATGCTAAAATGGAACAGGACGACACACTCAAGGGTAAGAAATGCATCGCTAATTTTCGCTATATAAACCATCTTACTCATTTCTCAGACACAACCAGAGTTCGTGGTGAGTCACGCGCTGCACCAAAGCGGCGCGGCCGGCTGAGGTATCGGACAGCGCGACTCCAAACGACTATATGAGTAACGGTTCACGTTCTCACTTCAGAGTTAATTCAACGATTTTATAAGCTCGATTCATGGTTAGTTCAACATACCAGTTCACTGCTATGAATAACCGTTTTATATTCCGCTTTAGGGATAGTTCACATGCGAAGCAACGAAAATTGAATGTTAAGAGTAAATAGAATGTGAAAATGTCACGCCATTTTCTATAAACTAATCTCTTTTTTACAACTTTATTGTTGACGTTAATACTGTTCGTATTTGAAGGCCTTGAAACGCGAATAACCTGCTGAAAACAGAAAATTTCGAAGCTGTTTGATATATCATACTTTACATGATTGCATCAATTACAATGTTTCGACATTGCACCAGAACGGAATTTTTTGTGCAAAGAATAGCAAACAATGCCTTGAAGTCGACAGGTCCAGTGGCACTTCCAATACTTGCTCGCCGACACGTGTGCTCTAAATCTATATAAAATAGCCCAGTGAAGAACAAAGAAATCGTCCGGTCATATTGAGAGGGATTGTTTACAAACGTACTCAATCGGTCACGCACTGGGCCACAGGTGACTAAAAGTCTTCGTACTCTCTACAAACACAAAGTTTTTAACATCAAGGTTGTTCGACCCTGGTGTCAAGGCTACGTATAGTCAGTATATTACTTAAAATAAATGCCCACTTATTTCTGCCAAATCAATGAAAGAGGGCACGAATATTCATTCATCATACTCATATTTCCTTCTATTCTATTTCATGGTCATTCTATAAAAAATGAATTATAGCTGTAATAAAGAAGAGAGCTTACAGTGTGGATAATTGGTACGAAAGAAAGCTTCCTGGTTAAACCAGAATATAAAGACAATAATTTTGTAGTAACAAATAAAGCACCTCAAGCATTACATGCCATTAATCTTGAAAAATGAATGGCACTTCACTAGTTAAATGTCGAGACAAATTTGTTCTGCCCTGGACTCATTTGACAAACGTGGAGTATAGGAATAATTTAGTTCACTAAACTAAAGCCTCTTGCAATAGAAAAGTTTTATGTGACTTTACATTGAGTGACATTATGAGAAATGAGAGGAGAGACATAATTCAAATAGTGATGCACTTTTCGTCTTAATCTGGGTCAATCTGACCCAGATTGGCTAGACTAAAGGGCGTTTAAGGTTGCGATTGAGAACCGCGAGCCCAGGCAGGATAGGCTGAATCCCTATGAGAATCTATCGCTACGTATAGTCATTATAACTCCGCTCGTAAATGAAATATCAATGCACCCTGGGTATGAAAATGTCTCACCATTTGGACGACACATCATCCTTTCGGTGTCAGTTGATAGTCAGCACGACGGGCTTGGTGGCATGAAGCCTCGTAAGGTCAACAGTAAAATGGGTCTATTATCACAACACCAGATAATGCCGACACAGGCCATGCACTCAGTCAATAGTCAGTCGATAGGTTGACCTATGAAGGATTGTTAGCCGCAAGGCATGTGTAGGTTATTTAAATTTATGTAATAGAGCACAAATTACATATTTTGCCATCCGAGCGTATTAGACGCGTCTAAACATGAACGCGCTTCGGCGCGAAAGCGGCAAATAACGAGTGTCATACCACCCACAAAATTACTGAGCCTATAATAATGAACAGAATTCTGATTCAGGTAGAATTGAAACGTAAATCATCTCACTATGTATCTCATCGGAATGGGATATATTTGATGCAAAAAGGGCTTAACATACTTCATAACGAATGGCTAACAAATACGCACGATGTCATAGGGCGAAGAAAAATATAACTCAGTACTCACTGCAGTGAGTGACAGAGAGCGCATTTTCTCGTCGACGAAAACGTGAAGTCACGGACGGACAGACAGACGGACGGACAGACAGACGGACAGACAGACGGACAGACAGACGGACAGACAGACGGACGGACTTGGCGAGCACAATAGTGCATTTTTTAATTTTTTCATAAATGAGAAAATGCGTTAAAAACGATCAGATAAACTTTACCATTCTTGACATCAGCGCTAAACCCACCACCTTTAAGCTCAGCTGGTACGTGTGTGCTAGGGTCACCTGCGCCTCGTACGTTTACGTGCGTTGCAATCACCATCTACCCTCCTGGATCGGTTGCTGTGCCGCGCGATTTTTTCGTCGAATTGAGCGCTGTTTCGTCGCCAGGTTCGTCGATGGAGTCTATGATCGAGTCAAGTGCTTAGTCATTTTTATCCGTTCTCATCTTTTCTCCTGTCTATTTATTTTTCGCTCAATACTAAACTTGAGTGTAACGTTCTCTCGAAGTTTGTTTGAACCTGAAGCCACAATAACTTTTCCGTACAATAATGACGATAACAGTAATAACAAAATAATAATAAGAACAAAATAAGACAAAAATGCATAATCTGTACAGCTAATATTTTTAGAAATACAACTGAAGCGAAGGTGTTGACTGATGAGTGATAGATGATGTTGGATCACCACTCGCACTAATTTCAGCACTCGTCAGCGAAAACAGGTTCGCAGAGACACCGAGGCAAAGCAGCTGGTTCTTGATCACCTTCAACAACAGTCAGTCTCGATAGACCGTTGCAGTTGACCTTCCCCAATTAAAAGTAAGTTAGACAGATTAAAATACGTGAACAATCGTCTAACATGATTAATAAAACTACGACCAGAGAAGACGCCACTTTAGTCTTTTTATACCTCGTATGGTACGAGACCAATTATTGGCACATCGGATATAGCAGCGACACAAAATTGTTCGAGTATACTTTGTTGCACCGTACTGCCTATAATAATTGTGCAGTGTGCCTATAATAATTGCGCAGATATAATCATACAAGCTTTCGTGAGGAATACGATCATTCTTCCAGACGATCGCATAGGCTACGAACATTCTTCCAAGCGATCGCATAGGATATACGACCTTTCTTCTAAGCGATCGCGTAGGCTACGACCATTCTTCCAGACGATCGCGTAGGCTACGACTCCATTCTTTCAAGCGATCGCGTAGGCTACGACCATTCTTCCAAGCGATCACGTAGGCTACGACCATTCTTCCAAGCGATCACGTAGGCTACGACCATTCTTCCAAGCGATCACGTAGGCTACGACCATTCTTCCAAGCGATCGCGTAGGCTACGACCATTCTTCCAAGCGATCGCGTAGGCTACGGCCATTCTTCCAAGCTAACCTGTGGACCGTAATATTTGACCGCGATTAATGCGATCGCTTCAAAAGTTGGTTCAGAAGGCGATTGCTGTGCAACGAACGTGAGGATTACGGTAGAGCTATTTCAAGTAACCGTCGGTTGCTCAAGGCGAGAAAATCGTTCGTTGTGCGGTCAACAAATTCGCAGAAATATGCAAGTCGCTTCGCTGGCCTGGATAGGGAACACTAATTTTGGGTTGTATAAACGAAATCATTAACGATCGTGTGAAATACTATGTCTAAACAAATGCACATGCAATGCGTAAAATATACTTAAATAATATTGCATAACTTATACTTAAATAATTTTTCAATTTTCAAGAGTTTCGAATCTCATTAGAAGACATAAAACAACGGATATGCTTATATAGCTTGAAGCATAGATCGGTAATATTGATCAC